GAACTAGAGAACACGGTGAGGTCTGAGATCATTGTAGCGAAAAATTTCACAATTTTAATCTGGCATGCTGATGTTCAAATACCAACTGTAGACGCTCTTCAGCATTGAGCTCAGTTTGAAAATTTCAACATGTACGAATCCGTTCACCCTCATATTTTCCACATTGTTTGCAGAGACTCCTGTAGCATCCGCTGGTGCATCCATCACAGAGTTTATCAGAGGATAAAAAACAGCATAATTTCTCTTTCCTCATCCCCATATCAGTCAACTCTCTGGCACTTACGACTAGACGATCTGAACTACTGTCACTTCTAGCTGTCAAAAGACGGTATCAACATGAACGACGTGGTTGTGGACAACTGATCATCCCTGGTTGAAAAAAGAAATCTTGTCAACAGCAATGAACTTTAATCCTATCAGATGATAATCATACGGTCAGCTGAAATATTTTGTTGCACACAACTGAGCATTGTTGATTCGACCTTGAATATTTGAGCACATGTTAATCTCGGACGGTATGAAACGGGAAGGTCGATAGTTGACAAGAAAATGCAAAAGAATTTAGACACAAAGGAAAATTTCCAACATTGGCCTGGACTGATCCGTCTAGACAAGTCTAAGTGAATGTTGTTTGTTTGTTTCGGGTTAGAGAGCAACAAGTGCATCTTAACAAATAAAAGTCTTGAACGCACTGAATAAAATATGTGCAAATTACTTACGGACTTTCATTCAAAATTGAGTGATTATCAAACTAAAGAATATTATCTGTTGTTTTTCTAAAACCAGTATTCTCGACTTGGTATTGTATGGGATCCTCCATTGTATTCCCCAATATCCTCCTGTCCCCGAGATCTGTGTATAATTTTCAGCTGTCTACTTCAATGTACACTACAAGTCAGCGATATTATGATCATTCATACCAGTCGATGATATTATGAAGACTAACAAAATGTGAAAACAATCAAACGCCGAGTTAGTGTTAAACTGGTCTGATCACATTCATTTTTGTCAGTAAATTATGTATAATCTGTAAACCGGATAACTTCAGCTTAGACGGTAGGGTAAACAGAATCTTCCTATACACCTAGAAAACATCAAATCAGCGGTCGATACGATTGAAATTTTCACGGTAATGAACAGCATGTACAGAATAATAGGTCCATTTCATCTCAAATATGCATCAACTGGGAGTTCCTGCAAACGAGCAAGCAACAACCGATTTATGCAGGTGTGCAAATTTCACATGAAACGGTATAAAACGACCAAACTTAAAGTCCACTAAGTCAGCTGAGTCAGGGTAGTGTTGGCACAACTTGCTGACACTGTACTTAGACAGGTTCTATGGAAAAATGTGAATATAACAGTAATCAAGATGACGACTGAGAGAGATATCAAGAGTTTGGAAATAATCAACCCGAAATTATTGTATTAACTAATTCATAAGTGTGCAGCACAAGACTGAAGCTGACCTTCTACACAGATTCATCAATCGATATTAAACAAGCAACTGAGAATTCAATCGATATACCAGTTAGCAGTGTCGAACTTCATAGAAGGGAAAAATCATCAGTGAACTATTCTTCGGTAAAGCACATTCACGACACAATGCTATATATTAAGTTGGCTGCTTTCTTTCGATTCCACACAGCAATTCATTGTCTTCTCACTACCTCACAAGAGAGAAGCGTTTCCATGTATCGATTACCTGTATGACTTTCCAATGGAGTCTGTTTGTCATAGTGTCATAGACTTGTCCTCAGACATTTGGCTGGTAAATGCTGAAGAGTCTTACCGGACTGGATAGATTAGGAGATATCTACTGATTTCTAGGAATTTCAGACATTATTCATTCTACTATCAGGAGCCTTTGATGGGTTTCGATGTTTGTCACAACGTTTGTTATGAGACCGTAACACCCGTCCGTTTCGACCGTTTTAGAATGAGACCACAAAGCAAGCACAGCATAACTTTGGGAGGCCATTGAAAAATACACGAACGACTGGTTGGTACATAATCCACTTGATTGTCGTCCGGTTCCGAATAGCGACGCAAACCTTCAGCATATAATTTCTGTGGTTGACCTTCGAATGCACCCAAACAGATTGGTGAAGTCATAGTTTTAATAATTGTCATTTTTCCGGCTGACAAATCGGGAACACATTGTCGTAGGCGATCATATTTTTGTGAGTATGCAAGAAAATCAAGCGAGATAGGAGAAATTAATACTTAGTTTTCACCAGTTGGAACATAAGCTGTAAATTGGTTGTAGGAAATACATTTAGTAAAAAATGCCTGAATTACGCATTGGGTAACAGGAGTGATGATAAATGTTGTGTTTTGTGACATTGAAGACGTGTTGTGGTGAAAAATGCACTTCTCTGACGCAAGTTTTGTTTTATATAAATTGAACGCCACCGACGATCTGCACTAGAGCCGCAGCACACTTTCATGAGGTAATTGTGTTGACCACTGCGCCACTGACGTCACATTAAGCAAGATTGAGTCATCATATATGAACGCTCAGTCCCATTCGCTTTTCAGTATTATTCTGTTCAGTAGTGGCAGTCACGTGTTTTCAAGAGAATGGATAACAGCATGCCCAGTCTAGATAATCACATCCGGGTAACGGGAAATGGTTACATTTATGTTGAGCAACCCAAGGATCCGAAAATGAGAGAGAATCTCATTAACGCAAATAATGATTGGCGCCACGAAATCAAATGCATCATGAGGATACTCAAGACGGTCAGATTATTGTACGTGAATTCATAGTAAAATGAATTACACATCAATTAGGAGTGTTTTAAATGGCGCACGATACAAGGAAGAAACATGTTGTTTTACAGAAATCAAAACGCTCGCGAAATTTCAACCATATTGCTTTATGTTAGGTAGGTCGTTGTGTTAACAGTTGTATTCATGAGCTCAGAGCTACTAACATAAAAGCCGCTGATCTGCGGCCGTAGCCGTGGATTGTATTTATCTACACAAACGGAATGCAAAAAAGACACAACTCAAGTAGACTGATCGTGGATTGTTGGTTTTGGAGTGAACATCGAGAAGTATCACAAACAGTTGATTTTCCTTTCACTACAAATTCGTTCGTGAAGTATAACAACAGTTTACGGCAAATTCGATTTCCAGATCGCTGTGCAATTAGCTGTTATTCTTGAACAAAACAGAACAACTAAGTTTTTAGATGAGACCCAACTGCGAAAAGTCAGGGCTTCCGCTGGATTCGTACAAGCGACAGAAACACCATGCCTCTGTACGGCAAGTGCTCTACCTGCTGAGCCACGAAGCCACGCCAGGAGCTCGGAAATTTCACATTTAGACTCGGTTACCCACCCGTTCCACTGTCTCATATGAAATCCACCAACACCACCGTTGAGCATAAAAATGTTTCAAAAGTGTTGCGTGACTGAACGTAAAGCAGACGGATTCCATGCCCCAATAACATTTGTAAATGAAATTCCTGTTCAGGCAACTTAGATTGAACTAGCGTTAAGAATACTTTGAGCAAACAGATCATCATTCATAATGTGTCCACTGAAAGTATTTGGAGAATTGGTTCGAGTTCTATTCAGACTAAGCATGATCCTCAGTTTGGTGAAAGGTTCACCTCATTATATCATGTTGTTCTGTACACACCTTCTCTACAGCTATCAGCTACAATGCCGAATGTAACACATGTTCTGCCGTTGAAAATATATGTAGGAGTAGTCAAAGTTCAAACTCCTCACAATACACGTGTTCAAGACAATCACGTCTCGACTCTCACAGCAACCCTCCGAAGGCAGTACTGCCAAATTAAGCGGTGTGCTGGTGTCATCGATGTGAACATCATGGGGTGATCACGGTTCGATGTAGCGCCCTCCCATTCCAAGCGGCCGATGATTTGAAGTTGCTGGTAAAATTACAAACATGTTTTTGAAGAAACGGGAAACCGTGAAGCGTAACACCTAATTGGCATGTAAGGACAGGTACGACAGGCTTTTCGACTGCGGATGAGTCACTTAAAAATCATTGAAATAAACTGTATTTGTTGACTCGTAGTTCATAACAACCACTGTGCTTTTCCTCCGTGATTCTCTAACAGCGAGAGTGCATTTACCAAAATGTCTTTACTACTGTTTCCACGGCCCTAGTAGTATGATACGTTTGCTGTAATTCTTCGACTTTTCTCACGGTCACTCCAACATGTAATCTACTGAATCACACTGATATAAACTGCCGTGACAGAGAATGACGCTCAATATTGTATTAACTTACCGAACGAAATTAGCAACTAGACCTCTCGCTGGTTATCCTCAAATATCAATTAAGTGATATGAAGTATTTTTTTGTAGTGCTGAGTTAGAACTGTGGTCAACAGATGGAAGCGAAATCTTCACGTTAAAAATCACTCATGTTTGATTGCAGCTCTCGTATCCAAATAGACTTTTCAGCCAGCCTATTTCGAAAAGAAGCAACAGATTCAGAGTTCGCCCTTGTCATAGTTCGTCATTAATGTCTATCCTTGCCATGACTGGTGTAAGAACGCTGACTACGCATTTACAAGAAAACCATGCTGACAACTGCGGCATTGACTTCACATTCTTAATAATAAAACCATATTCCGATTAGAGATTCAAAACCTTTTACAAAGGCGTACAACAAGACCAGTCATAAAATGTAACACATCACTATTCGCCCAAAATTCTACCAGTTAAAATACAGTTCAAATAAAATCCTAAGCAGACCTTGAATCCAGACTAGATCTTGTGAGCAACTGATCAGAAACTGTTAAGCAGGATAAGAAATACTAAGGACTGTGCAAATGTGTTACTTATCCGTATATTTGACGGTGCTTTTTCAGTCAGGAGTTTGGTTACAAGACCACTCAAAGAACCACATGGTAGGAATTCTATTCTGGACGATGTCAGAAGACAATATGTCCGACAGTGTGATAACAATCGATACTTGTGAATACAGCGGTAGAATCATCCAAACATTTTGCTCAGAAGCCTGTGCAGCCAGGCAGCAGTTGACACACACACGCATCAGCATCAAACAACTAGAACAGGCTTGATAGTCACAATCTGAGAAATTCGACACACTGACAGGGAAAATGATTTACGGACAAGCCGATCACAAATACACTGAATCAGATAAGGCAATAAAACACCGAACCGATCCGAAACACCACACACCCACACAATACACAACGAACACTTCTGCCTTATGTTTGGCTGTTTCCGTTTGGCCAGCCTGATATGGTTGAACCTGTAATGACCGAAATCACAGTCAGTACGGCCCGCTGAATCAATGAAGCACACAAAACTGAACACCACGTCAAGGTAGCAGAAAAGGTTAAGTAACACTGGTAACACTACAACCACGTTGACATAAAAACCGGCATCTGTGGAACGCGACAGTCAGTCGGCATGTTGAGATAAGTACCACACATTTTCCATCTGTAGATAGGCGTATGTGTAATAGTGAAGAGCGAGTTATTGAATAACCTACGTAAATGTAAGCATATCTCACTAGGCTCTTAGTGAAAACAAAATGAACAAATGGAGCAAGAAATTTTCAGATTTCAAGCAAGTCACGGTAATCAGAGAAATTGACTCACTGAGGGTGTTTACAAGTATTCAGGACAACCACCACAATATTCCAAATAACCAGTATCCGAGAAGCAGGGTTATTGAGGAGATACTACGTGCTGTTAACGAACGCTCGGGGCTGAAAACATGTGCGTAGTACAACGGAGATGGACATAGAGAATAGCAGACCGGTGTGTACAAGTTTGTGTTGTACTGCGAGGTCGCGTTGGTCAATGTTAATAACATGCCAAAGTGATGCAAAATCGTGGTGCTTCAAATGTGAAACGCCGTTAGTTAACAAAAATGGAAACAATATTAGCATGAAATATTCATCAGAATTCAGGGCACACCTTAACTTGTAGTGAGTATATATGCTGTTCTCTCCATTTTGTCTCGTTTTCTGCTGATAGTTCGGTTTTACTGTCGTTATCCCCTCCCACACCAAAATACTGGTCTCGTCATTTCATCTGTTCTATATTCATAAGCTCGTGATACAGAAACCACTGAAGCTTTGTTACTCGCATATATTCAGGTTCTGGTTAGCTGCGGAAGTTTTCCATTTCGTTTGATATCTTTTGGAAGGTCAGTGAAAGTGAGTTATTTCCATACAATAAAAGCAAACTGCCTTTGTTGACTCATAGGTCATGACAACCACTGTGCTTTTCCTCCGTAATTCTCTAAAAGCGGGAGTAAATTTACCAAAATGTCTTTACTACTGTTTCCACTGAGCTAGTAGTGTGATATATTTGCTGTAATTCTTCTGCTTTTCTTACAGTCAATCCAACATGAAATCTACTGAATCACACTGATGTAAACTGCCGTGACAGAGAATGACGCCCAATATTATATTAACTTACCGGATAAAAGTGGCAACTAGACTTCTTTGTGGTTGTCCTCTTCCGAAAAGGAAGCATCAGACTCGTGTTTCGCTCCTGTTATGGCTCATCATTAGTGCATATCCTTGCCATTGTTGGTGGTATACCGATGGCTATGCTTTTATGCGTCATCCGCGGTAAACACTGCGCAATTGATCTCAAATTTCCATTAATAATGCCACAGTCCGAATGCAGGTTTTAGACCTTCTACAGATCTATGCAACGAGACCAGTCACAAAATGTAACACATCAGTTTTTGCTCAAAGTTCTATCAGTTAAAATGCAGTTCAAGTAAAATTCTGAATAGACCTTGAATCCAGACTAGACATTGTGAGCAACTGGATGAGACGGACTGAGGACTTTGCAAACATGTTCCTCATCCGTACATTTGACACTGCTTTTTCAATCAGTATTTCCGCTACAAGGTAGTTCAAATATTCAAGTATTGTAGTTCATTTTCTGAACTATGATGTTGAAAGGCAAGATATCCGACAATGTGTTAAGAATGGATAACTCTGAATATAACATGTGCGGTGAAATTTTGACCATACTTCAAACGATGGGTCTAAAGCATAAACACGTTTAGCAAACAGTCCTTTATCGGTCATTCATCATTTGGTCTATTATATAACACATGATATCATCAAGGTTGTCAAGCTTACAGAACCGATAACAAATAATCATATAACTGGGTCAAACGGTTGGGAATATCATGACAACTGGGTGACCAAACTCACCTCTGTTATTGTCCAGTAGGTAACAGACCGTCATGGTAATCGTCGGGCCTAAAGTGGTATGCACTGAGCAAACTGCAAACGAAGGATTGGTGAGCTGACGCAAAATTTAAACCAGCACCAGTAGAACCATTCACGATTGAAGTGCGCGTTCAATTCGACGAACATGTTTAATAAATTGTCAGGAAGCAAGCAAGCTTGAAATTTAACCAACTGGAAGACAGCTGGAATTCTGTAAGTTTGACATCAGAGTTCCCAAGCAATTGAGTAATACATTTTCACAACTTTCCTATGATGCACTAATTAGGGCCGGTAATAGTGGTTTTATCACTCGGTCCTAAATTTTGCTCTTGCAGAAGTAAGGTGTGACAGTTTGATTTAGAGGTCCAAATTTGAGAATTTATCTAGCCAAATCGAACTTCTGCTTCTGTCATCAAACCACGGTGTAGAACACTTCGAATCGACTTCATTTGATACGCTTTTTGAGTACCTCAACACTAGACCACACTTAAGCTGTAATCATATAGGACGGCATACCCAAGAGCTGATGTAATTGAGGAGAACCTATGACGTGTTGCTCTCGAATCCCACCAGGGGTGAAAGACTTATTATGGTGGACGAGTCGACTTGCCTGATCACAAACGTACCACTCATAGTAAGCGGTGACTGCCCGTGGGGGTGTAGTCGTTCTGAACGTTCAAATGTAAGCTTACTCAAAGACACCAGTCAGCGGATATTAACTTATACGAGGAATGCACATTCTCTCACTGATGGGAAAATATACCGTCAGAAGGGCGACATGCCAGTAGAATCACCGTTAGACTCATTGTTAGCACATATTTTTATGGCAGTGTTAGAAAACACTATGTGATTATTGAGCACAGCACACTATGAGAGGTACGTAGAAGTTATCATCTGTGTGATTGACGAAACTACGGATCTGGATAGCCCACTTGCTGTTGTGAACACAGCACGGTCTATTCTTGATTTCTATGTCAAATAAAAGTAGTGTATGATTTGAACCATCTCAATCTCCCGACAATCTAAACGATCGTATAAAATCCACGATCAAATCTGTACTGATTGATGTATCAGCTTTAGCAATTT